AGATATTTCACCTTTACGCCTAACTGAGTCGCCAATTCGGTCCTGAGGGCGCACACGAGGCGATACATTGTCTCCCTATCCTCCCCATAGAGGACGACCCGGACCGGGATTTTTGTCTGGGAAACGCCCAACATTTCGTACAAGGCGCGATTAAGGAACGGCGTGATTATGGCGTCTTGTAAAAATGCCAGGTATGAATTTATCCTATGGTCTTGCATGGCGCGTAAGGTGGCAAAATTTACACTTGTAACTGAATCCAGCCATAGGCTGTGTTTCCTAAGGGGGAATATTTTGGCACGTATGCGCCCCCACAACTCCTCAACGGTCAGACTGATACAACTATAGGCGAGAAGAAAATGGAAGACTGGAACGGATATCAGACGCCTTAACGTGCGACGATTCATTTTTTAAAACTGTAATGAGATTAGATTTACTGAGTATTAGTGGTTGGATTCTGACCATTATTTTGTGATCGAGGGGAACGTCCAAATATTATGACATCAAAAAATCAGATCGAGTTTTTACAATCTACCAACCCTTTCTATATCCCGGGTGAAAAATCTAAGGAATTTTATGCAGAGAATTGGCTGGATTTTATGCAGAAAAATTTATGTTGAAACAATTTGTGCACAAAATTTACAGAATTATGCATAATTGTTCGAAACCTTCCTGCAGAATATAAGTGCCAGAAGTTTTATGCAGAATCGTCCATACTATTTCTGCACGTACCCTTAGTCCGGGCAGTTTTATCGAATTATGTCAAATTCGACATACGATTTTCACCCGGGTATCCTACTCATTTCAAGCTTAAGAAGAGCAAGAGGGGTGACACAAAATTACCCACCGTTATGATGACATAATATAAGGACGTTCCCAAGGTAGTCGTACTCCTGCTTTAAACAATGCTCTTAAAAATGATGTTACCCTTTTAGAAAGTAAATGTACTCTAAATTCAAAATTATGTAAGTCAACGGTCTTAAATCCAGACTAAACTTTGCCTTACTCTGGATAGAAGTTAACGTTACTCTGGATTTTTGTCATAGTTTGCTTAATAGAAAATTCAGACTAAAGTTACTTTTCGAAAGGGTAACATTATTTTTACGAGTGAATGTATTACATGGTACAGATGTGGCGATAAGATGTTTTAACGAGGGTGAATTCTGGTGGACTGAGGAGCTGGAGATATAGAAAGTTTTATGACGAGGGGAGGATTTTTATTTTAGATACATAGATATTTACATAGATATGTACATACTTAAGGGTTCCAACTAAACGATATTAATATGAATATTTACATATATGGTGACATGGATGTATGGAAAATTTCTGGACAATGTACACATATACGCACATCTGTTGCACGGCTAATTTGAATAGATTTTTCTAACGGACTTATGTACATACAACGCACCGCATGATTGATAATTAATTTGGTACATACATATGTACATAAATATCTCTAAATGTTGTACGTAAGGCATTAATGTTAAACCTATATTAATGAATAAATTCGTCTGACTGAATCCACGTGGCCAGCGGGTGTATTGCATTTCAATTATAAATATGTAGGGAAAGGGTTCGGATTTGCTACATATGATAGAAGCAGGCTTTGATTTTTTTTACATAAAAACCAACAGGATACGAACCCTATTTGCGTAACTTGAATGCGTGTGGAAGGGGAAGGTATTTGAACCTGCTATGCATAAATGTGTATGTAAATATGTACATAGATATTTACACACATCCCCAACCGACTGAGAAGATGTAGTGACAAATCTATTTTAAGAAATGTGGAGTAGAATTTCGGCCTTGAGTGTGATTGTGATCCACATGATAAACCCAGAACAATTCGAAGCCCTTACCTAAACGTCCAAATTCCAGAGGCTGCGGAAGCACGGGGACCATTTCCCCATGGTTAGTCGATGTCCTTATCATGCACCTATGTTATACACAGATACAAACAAATTCCTCGCCTTAGCTGGCGATTTTTTTCTTCGTAAACTTTCTATTACGATACTGAGGATACGAGGATAATAGTGAATACGGTCACCATCTTCTAGGCATACAAGGAGGTAAATATGTACATATATTCTCAATTTGGATGTAATTATTTTTAAAAAAGTTACCTTTATTCTTATTTAATATTTGTCCATACATAAATACACACAGTCAAATTGAATAAATCATCTGTATTTATTACATACATACATATGTATTTATACACTCAAAATAAAAATTTGTCGAATCAACACCGCCGGTGTCAATAATAGGGTCTCCCAAGTTTGTAAAAAAGATCTGAAAAAGCGAAAAGCTAAAAAATCTGAAATCCGCTTTTTTCGCTCAATACTTGACTGTCCCGATTTTTTATCGCTTGAATACTCCGGAGCAGAGAATGGGTGGTCAGGAAAATTTCGAGTTTCTTTTAAAATTTAAATTTGCTTCATGTTTGATATGATAAAACAACTATCTAAGATCATGTAAATCCAAAAATTACCAAAATGGGATGAAAATAGGATTTTTGGCAAAGGTTTGAATGCGGTAGTTTTAGTGGTTGCAATGCTTTTCAGGGGTTGTGGCGGGCGCAGGTGGGGCACTGGAATAAAATCCTCCCTCACTTTTCATACACTCACCTGATATTGCAATATATTCCATAGGGCATCAAAATCGGGCGATGTCCCCTTAAACATGTCTCTGAGAGACTGATTTTTCATTCAAAGTAGTAAAAAGAGCGAAAAAATCATCTTAAAGTAGATTTTATTTTTGAGCAGAAAAAGCGGAAAAAAGATCGGAATCGCATGCGCAGTGCGGTTTACAAAAAGAGCGAAAAAATCGTGAGCGGAAAAAGCGATTTTTTTTACAAAGTTGGGACACCCTAATGACTGAACCGCCTTGGTTACAATGTTGAATCCGAGTTATGATGATTTTGATACCGGTCGTTATAATGTTATGACCGGAAAGAAAAAAATTCATTGCTACTCGGAATCACAATTGTAACCAAGGCGGTTAAGTCATATATTGACACCGTTTTGTTTTGAGTGTATTGATAAAAACGGTAAGATCTGAATGACTTCCGCACCATTGCGCAAGCCTTTGGCTATGGGTTTACATAAGCAATTACACACATACATCTGCATGTAGGTATGTATGTACACACGTATTTATTTCCATTTACATATGTACATACATACATCGATAAGCTATGGATTTATGTGCATATGTAAATTAGCGATTCTGGAATCAGGAAAAAAGCCTCCCATTGATAATCCGAATTGGGTACGACCTCCATTTTGTTAAGTAACTGCATGCACACGTGCAACATATGTCACATGTAAATATGTTCCGCGTGGTAAAAGGTTTATCGGAAGGGTAGCACGATATCACCGAAGAGCCCGACCTTCTAACCAAAAGGACACACGCGCCTCAATTTGCAATGCCAAATTTAGTCCGTTATGTCCAAACAAATACTATATGTACATATGTATGTATGTGTACCCAACCCATTATCTGAGAAAACTGCATAAAAGCATCAATCTGCAATGTACGTAGGTGTTTTATTATTAATTTTCAAAAGGTATGTTCCACACTGTTTCTGACCAAAATTTTGATGAAATAACAAATTTCAAATACATTTAGGAGGCTGTGATTTTTTTCAGCTCTGTGGGTTAACATAAACACTAGCAATAACTCGGCAAACTTTACCTCGACGGAAAAAATGCTAGATTTGCAAATTAAATATCGTAGTGTGATTTAATTTTTAATGCTGGATCGGCAATACGTGTCGCAGATTTATGGTCGAATGCTTAAAATTTACGATGAAGACTGCCCAACACAAAACACAAATTCAATTGGGTCAATAATTTTAAATGATGGCGAAACGAGGTCTCGGGCAAAAAGTCGCCAGGACGCTCAAAATCCGTTTCTTCCACAGAAAGGCTCCGGAAACTAGAGGAACAAATAATGAGAGATCTGCGATTGAAACTGTCCTATTTAGCAGATGAGATGGGTGTTCCAAAACCAGCAATTTGTTCCATGTTAACTGAAGACTTAGGTATGAAAATGGTTTTCTCCCGTTGGGTACCAAAATTGCTTTCAGCATCTCAAAAACAGGATCGAGTCGACTTTTGCAATGCCAATTTTAACCTATTAAATGAAGACTTGAACCTGCTCAATATTTTATTAGTTGCATATGGTACTTGGGTTTACTATTATGACCCGGTGACCAAATAATAATTCCCTCAATGGAAGCACGAGGGGTTGCCACCGCCCGTAAATTGAAAAGTGCAAAAATCTGACAAAAAAATGATGATGACCATTTTCAAGGATACCAAAGGTCCCCTCCTTATAAAATTTATTGCTGGAAATACTGCAATAAATGGGGCCGTGTATGCAGGAACCCCGAAGGAGCTGCGTCCTCCGGTTGAAAAGAAACGTGGGGTCAAAATAAAGAGTTGGCCTTTTTTTAGACGACAACGCGTCACCTCATACCTGGCTTTTTGCGAGGGTTAGTGCAGACGAAAATCGCTTTACCTGCACAAACCACACCCCGTGCAGTCCGGACTTGTCCCTTAGTGATTATTATTCGTTTCGAAACTTAAAGAAAAACATCAGGGGAAAACGGTTTTCGGATGATAATGAAATCAAGTCGTAAATTTTGGCATATTTTCGAGGTAAACTTTAATGAGTTATTGCTAGTGTTAATGTTAACCTACAGAACTGAAGAAAATCACAGCATCCTAAAAGTATTTGAAGTTTGTTATTTCATCAAAAGTTTGGTCAGAAACAGTGTGGAACATACATTTTGAAAATTAATAATAAAACACCCACGTATGAATAAATATGTATGTATAAAGTCCTGTATTTGTTTAAGATAAAATTGTCCGATAAAATACAATCACTTCTTAAATACGTTGCCATGCCCACCTTTGGTAATCTTTTCCGGGTGGTAGGCCCATATAAAAAGCCACCTACTCATCCCAATTAGGCACATCAATACATACAAACTTAACTTGGAAATTAAACTCTGGAAAATTTCTGGGAATTTTGCCACAAAAAATGAAGCAGCAGACTTCCATCTTACTCCTGGTGGCACTTATCACCATCTGGACTCATATTTCTGTGGGTGGCACACCCACAGAAACACCCGTCGGGCACACCCGTCGACGAATTTGAACTGGCTTTGGTAAGTATATTGAGAAGTTAAAATAATGAAGCATTTCACGTGCTCCTTCGTAAGTCTGTAACCACGTACATTCACAAAGATCAGCTTATGAGCAAAAAACATACATATATCATCGTAAGGTTTTGTAAGCCTGTACGCAAAAATTTCCATAAATATGTTCTTCAGTTTCGTCAGAAAGTTTCGTAAGATTGGTGAGGTGAAATGCCTCCATATTTTTTTCCAAATTCCGCGCATAATTTCTCGGCTGTTTTATGCATGTATGAAGAACCTATCCGGCTTGAGGGTGGGTGGACTCAATGAAACAGTGATGGACCGCTGCTCGGAAAATGCTTATTGTTCGGAACGATGTTGCTGGGACTCGTGGGCGGGGAGGTGGTACTGTTGCGGTCGAAATGCGGGATGTTGTCCACAAGAGACGAGCAATGGATGCTGCCGTTAGGTTTAGATTAGTCTTATAATTTGGAACCTTAATAAGAATTAAGTAATTCAATAAATAATAACCTAAATAATAGTAAAAATAACCTAACAATAACCTAACAGTAAAAATTATCGACGTAAATATTTATATATTCTCGCCAAATAATAGGTGGAACTTGCATAAAAGTTGGTTAAATTACAATAAATAAAAAATCGTTAGAAAATTTGAAAGTGGGAATTTTACCATTTTGAAACTAGAATTGTGTCCCCTCTGTTCAAATTGAAGGACTGAAAAATTGGTATTTTTTCGTGGCATCATTTGTGGGCATTCCCCACCTTAAAAGTTAACAATTTAGTGCAAAGTTTTTAACTTTAACCCAACAATCCTCCATGCACTTACTTAAATTTATTAAAATTCAGAATGCCCAAGCTTAAAAAAATTGTTTTAACTTTAACATGAATTTATTTTAAGATCAATCAGTAGAACATCTTTTCCGTCTGATTTATATGCCGTATGACGGACGGACCTCTTCATTTCCCCAGGGATACGTCGTAATTCCATAGTCTTCGAAGCAGCACGTGTTAAATTTCCGCTCCAAAAAGGACCCATACACCTTGCACCTGGGCTCCCCTTTGTACCCTTCGTCGTCACAGGTCAACTCCATCTTTTCCCCGCATCCCTTCGTCGCCTTTGAAGCCTCGTCATTATCACCGCGACAATCCATCCATTTCAAATTGCTCGGCTTTTCTTCATCCTTCCCGCCTTGGCAGCACAATCGAAAATTGTAGTTTTTGTCGGCATCCCCGTTCGTTTTGCAGTTTACCATCGGGTTCACGTTTCCTCCGTACGTTTCGCACTCGAGACTCTGCTCTTGTCCACATTTGGTGGTTAGGCCGCGCAAATAAGCGCCCGTGACACGCGGCGCGACGCACATCTGCGTGTACGCCGTGGTGTCATCTTTTCGTCGGAAGGTGGCGGAGGAGGATCCGATGACGAGGGTGAGGAGGAAGATTGTCCAGTTCATGAGGTAGGCCTGTAAATAAAGGAAATTAGTCTGGAATTCATGGAAATTTGAGATTTTTAAGAGATTAAGCCTAATGTTCATCTAGTATTATTAGTCGCAAAAAATTCTGAAAATGTGTCTTTACATCAAGTACAAAATCTTACCTCAATTCTTTTTCCTGTTTTGCTAATTTTGTTTACGTGAAAAATCCCTTCTGGCTTTGATACGTACGTGCTTGGCGTAATATTTGCAGAATAAAGAGGTCACAGAGGCAAGAAAACAGATTTCCATATGAAAAGTTGTTGTCTGAATGAAAGTGTTGACGCCGTCGGGGTATTTGTAGCTGAAAATTAAGATAACATAAACGATATTAGGATGTAAGGTTCCTCAATGTGGAATCCTCATGATTGAGAACAATTGACTAGTTCTCGTATGTAATTATGTATCAGTTAAAAATTTGCATAATACATACATATGTACCAGAGGTCGACGCCGCCGATCTCACGCCGCCGCGTCGCCGTACGCCGATGCATTTTACGCGCCGCCGCCGCCGAAAAATTTGATTTCCTATTCCTTTAACATTGCGACGCCGCGCCACCTACGCCGCCGAAAAATCCCCAAAAACTGGCGCCGCCGCCGAAAAATCCTCAAAAACTGGCGCCGCCGCCGCCGAAAATTTGTCGGCGTCGACCTCTGATACGCTGTTACAAATCTGGTAAAGTCACATGTATAGTATGCACGTATGTATGTACTGGTAATAACTACCGACCGGCTTGATAATAGTTTGTCTCTGAGCGGTAAATTTTTCATTAGTAAACCGTAATGCTGGTTACTACCGTGTTGGTAGAGAAAAGCATGTACTTGAGCCAGTAATATTTTAATACCAGTTTTCTAAGAGTGTACATATGTATGCATGAACGTACTACAAATTCCTATTGTTATTGAACGGACGTCGAAATTTTTTATCTATCCGGTTTCCGATCGTAATAAACTATTTATAATTTTGATTAAATGACAAATGTGAATTATATATACACATGTAGGAAATTGGGGTGTGTATTAATTTATGTAAGAGTAAATGTGGAATTAAATGCAAATTTCTTTGAAAGGGTATATGTTTCATATGTTCGTGAACACAAGTATTTTTAAATCTTTGATGAAAATATGTATCTACTGATGTAATTTAATTACAAGATGAGTAGACAAGATTCGCCAAAATTCTTAAAGAAAGTCGGTACCTCAAACGAAATATTAATTTTTTGCTCGCAATTTTTATAAATGGGAGTCTTTGCAAAGCTCTACATACATTTACGAAAACAGGTATTTAACACATGTGGTGGACAGAATTGAAGCCATTTATTACATGATGGATAATCGTATGATACATTTTTACATGTTCATATTTAAATTTATTTTGTTGGTTAACATTCTACATATTTATACGATTTACGAAATATTTACCTGTGCGACACAAACTTATAATTTATTGATTTGCACAACCTTGTATTATCTGCTTACGTCTACGTTGCCAATGGACAATATTTCTACACCATGAAAAATTAAAATTGACCAAAATACTTTAACAAATTGAAGGACAGGATTTTTTAGAAAAATTAGGTACGGTAATTTGTTAGTTACACACTCATTGCACGGTACACATTTACATATCATCACCATCCTAAGAAGAACACAAATAAATTTACATACGTATATACATTGAAATTACTCCCATCTTCCCAACATATTTATATACTTAACAAACCCACTATTTTCTGGCCAGCAACAAACTGACCGTATTGCCTGTCACTTTATCCATAAAATTTGCAAAGTACCCCATTTCAATCCCCTCCCGCATCGTTTCCACTGAACTGACAAACTCTAAATTTATAAAATTTGGTAACAAACTCCGCAAGACACGTTTTCTATACTTATTCCTGCCATGATTTCGTCCCGCCTGAATAATAAACTCTTTTGATAATGCCGTCCCTTTGGCAACAAACGCTATGGCGAACCATTCTATTGACGCCGCAACGAAAACCATCGTCACACAGACGATCATACTGAAAATCGTCACTTTCTTATTGACGATAACCTGCATCATTACATAATAAATGGCCATCGTTGCCCAAACAACGGCGTAAAAGTGGTGCATCAAGACGATCACGAAGTCACGGTAGAGGTCAAACTGGACCAAGGTCATGACCCTGAGCGCCCTATAGATTTTGACCCCTGTGTCGAAAGATATCCCAAAGTCGTCCCGGGACGGGACGAGGAAAAGTGTCCACAAGTAGAGAGCCACGATTCCATACATGACAATTAGGATTCCGATGGCAGTGACGGACGCTACGAAAGTTCCCGCCAAGGAGACAACAAGGGCAGAAAATAGCTTGGCTAAAAGGAAGTTTTTTTCAGAAACCAGTCCAGGCAGCAATTGGGTTGAGTGGAGAGAATGCGACGACCCAACAAAACCAGGGGATCATATAGTCGAAGGCGCAGAAAAATGCGGTAAGAATCAAAGAAATATTACGAGTCACTGTGGCACTGATGATGTCTCGGCGTGAGGTAAAGATTCCGGCTGGAATCATACCTACGGGAACCAGTTAAACACAAATTAAGCCAAGATTTAAGGTTATCAGAATAACGAAGCGGAGGTCAACGCCGCCGATGGTACGCGGCGGGTAGGAATTTACGCCCGTTTCGCCACTGTTTTATCCTCGTCGGACTTCGCTTGCCTTTTACGCGCCGCCGGACATTTGTAGGATTTTAAGCGCCGATTTTCAGTTTTATCCGCGATATACATTTTGACCCTACGCCGCGCTATCGAAAAACCACCAAATTTGGTCGGCGTTGACCTCTATAACGAAGTACAAAAGCTGACCCTTTACCATCGCAAATGCGATATTATCCGCTGATTGTATGAACAAAGACGAAAGTGGACATTTTTTACCTTGGACATCTTCCACACGGTTACCATTGTGACCGTTACCATAGTGGCCGTTACCGATACCTTGTTACCGTTACCTGTAGTATTTTAATCGTACAGAATTGTATTGAATAAGTTTTCAATTATCAACAGTCCCGAAATCAAGAACAATGATCTTAAGGTTGATTTTTTAAATAACAATTTTGATAAAACTTATAATATAATGAATTTAGATAACGTTTAATAAGTCAACTTTGACCTTACCTTCTAAGGTCTTCTCCAAACTTAAGATTGAGTCGAACATATTTACAAACGTCTTCGGACCATCGGGCGACACGAAGTAGCGCAAGAAATGGGCCGCAATCCATAGGTAAACCGTGCTCAGTGCAGCGAAAAAGATTTCTACTAGGTCCGCCCTCTCCTGCCAGAGGAGTTGAGCCCACCTGAAAACCAACATTGGCAAGACAACCAGGATGCAAAATAGGGCAAGGATTTGATACATCCTGTAATGCCAGCCATTTCCGAGGGGTGTGGCTCGTCCCGACTTTTCATCCCAGGAAATAAAATATCCGGAATGGAGAGAATTTCGATGTGTGGCGTGGATACTGCGACGGAAATGCCGAAATGCTTCTTCATGCCACATCCTAGCAAAAAGGAGTTTAGTGCGACACTCTTAGAAATCCAGTATTAAATAAAATAATACTACCAAGCGGTATTCATATATGACACTACCAAAGTTGTACTGATATTATTACGTAAGTAAGTAATACCTCGGCATTAAAGTTTTACCATATCGTTAGCAAATTTTCTCGGATGGGTACCAAATTCTTAGGGACCAGCATAATATTAATACCGATAAGTAGCAACCTTAATACCGAGAAATCAATACCTGCCTGACTATCAGTGCCCGTGCGACCCCAAATATTGACCCGGGCAAAATATATTTGAGCGCCCCTAAATTTCCTCAAATTTGTCTAATATGGTTCGTATATTTTATGCAAATAATTTTTCCCAGGCGCGAAAAGCTTTAATCGTATTTTAAAATCGTCTAAGAACCAATAATTCGACTTTTAACGAGCACAGCGAGAGAAATCAAATTGGAGGTCTTTTATATACATTTAAAATCCAGATCCACACGGGACCAATTTTACTTTTTTCATTAGAAAAATAAGCCTTCCCAATTTTGTTGCATTTCAGAATTCGCTAATTTGAGTCCAATGCTTTCATTTTAAATTGCTTTCTAGTCAAAACATGTAGCTTTTTAAATTTTGGAACTTTTCCAATTTGAAAATTTCGAAAAATGTTGATTGGTTACTTGACTATGGTATTACTGCTGGTTAGGCGAGATTATAGAACATGTAGCTATTTGCCCATATACGCTAAACAATGGCGCTAATTCCAAATATTGAAACTTATCTGGAAGCTTGGTTCAAGCTGCGTCGTGACCCAAAAACTCAACTTAGAAATTTTGTAAAGGAATCCAAAAATGGACCCCAAAGAGCTCCATGCTGTTAAAACAGTTTGCCAAGCAATAATGACGTACAAAAAAATACTAAACCAACTCTAGGATGAAAAAATTATCATTTCTAATGGCCCAATGTCTAAAATACAATAAAGGATTCAGTTGAAAAAAGGAACCAGGCAAGAAATTTTATGGTGCCACACTCGTCGAACGCATACCCCCCGAACTGGAAGAAACCCGACGCTCGTGAGAAAAATTGATGTGGAATTGACTAACTGAAACGCCAACATTGGCTTCAGATCGACACTTTTTTTCAATTGGACATACAATTTTTTTTATGCCTTTTGTAATCTTTTAGATGAACAGTGGTTCAAAGAAAATCAGCTGCTGGCTTTAAAAGCCCGGCGTTTTGGAAATGATAACTTCATTCCTCATGAGAAAAGGATGAGGAATACGGTGAAATCATTCAAAATATCCAGTAACGAATATTTCGCCCAGAAATTAATAGTTTTCGACACGTTCTATAATCTCGCCTGACCCTCAGTAGAAATTCGTCCGCAATATTTTTTGGAAATTTAAAAGTTCACCAGAGTTTGCTTTTAGAGATTTCATAAACTTACAAAGCTATCATTAATTTAAAATTTCGCTAAAGTTGGATTTTTATTAATCAAGGATTCAATTCCTTCTACAGAAACATGTTTTCGAACTTTTTAACACACAGTAAAATTCGAAAAGTTCAAGGGTTTTAAAATCCCCGAGGTTTTGACTGGAAAACTTTTTACAATTCGCACCTTGATAAAATAAAATTCATCCAATGTAAATCTGAATTTTTCATTTTAAACAGTGGCATTGTGAGTGGGAAAACGGATTTGAATTTTCGCGCACGTGCTTTTGTGTAAAGGTGTCGAGAGTATTGCTATATTAAACTCAAAGGCAACTTTCGAAAAGAACCCGGATTTTTCTAAAAACCAGTACTTCAGGGCTAAAAAATTTGATTTATTCAAGAATCTAAGATTTTAGAACAAAAAATTCAAAAAAATTCATTAAAAAATTAAAAATTCATGTCATGGATGAAAATGTTCAAAATTCCAGTCTGAACATTTAATTATCACTGATTAATACTAAAGTAATAGTTTAAAGAAGTTTATTTCAATTTGCGTCAAGACGTACAAAAATCCCACAAAAGCAAAATCCCGAATAAGCTTTGGGGGTTTGATAACAAGAACCACAGAAATCTAAGCCACAAAAACCAGTGATGGCTTACTCAAAGGCAACTGAAAAATATCACTCATTGCTTTAGATTCAAAAGATCAATTTTACATCAGTCAGGTCCAAAAATTTATTTACTACGCTTATAAATTGCTAATAAATTACTTAGCATATAATCATGTAATTGTTGGCGCCCTTAGGCGCCCCCCGGCGCCTCAGCGCCCCGGGCAACCGCCCGGCTTGCCCGCCCCTCTCACGGGCCCTGCTAACTATACCAGGTTTCTAACTGTGTACGGATTTTCAAAAATGTGAAAATTTGCAGAAAAATTGAGTCCAAAATTATACTCCGGAAAATTTCCTTACGATTTCTTCGGTTTTCGGGATGATTTACTTTACCCTACTGTTTAAGCAGATCATACTTTCGGTTAGGCATACACGCATCGTGATGTTGGAAGCTCTATGGGACTAGGAATGTCAACGACATTTTTTAATAGGAATAATAATTATTAGGTAGAATATTACTTTATGAATAAATTGTCAGGGAAACAGGCAAGTATAATATTGATTAAAAACAATAAATTTCGTAGTTATAGCACGTTGAAATATGCATGTACAAATGTTGACGACTCATTTGGTCAATAGTAATAAAATATTGAGGGTATTCAAAATTGTCTTGGTATCCTTATTGTCTTGAAATATCTAGTTTACGAAGAAAAAAGGAGGGTCGAGCATCGTAAAAATCGTAACCTTAGGAGGGGAGCTTGCGAGGTTGATAATAACAGATCCTGATGCCCTTTGGATATGTGGTAGGGTCCTATGAGTGTACTAAAACCCTGAAGTGGTTTAACTCCATGGCCACATTTGCGCCCGCCACACCCACTCAAAAATACCCAAAAAACGCTTTCACTCCAGTTTTCACTCACTCAAAACCTCGCCAAAAATCCAATTTTACTCGGATTTTGAAATTTCTTTCACCATTACACTCCCAGATAGTTGCTTTCTTCAATCCAATATCAAACTCAATTTTGCTGATGATTATTTCGCAGGGATAATTTGCGTTGTTGATTACTACAACAATGCTCATTCAGAATTTTAAATTTTAAAAATACTAAAAATTTCGAAAATATTAAGTTTGATATTGGATTGAAGAAAGCAACTATCTGGGAGTGTAATGGTGAAAGAAATTGCAAAATCTGAGTAAAATGGGATTTTTGGCGTGGATTTGAGTGAGTGAAAACTGGTGTGAAAGCGTTTTTTGGGTATTTTTGAGTGGGTGTGGCGGGCGCAAATGTGGCCATGGAGTTAAACCACTTCAGGGTTTTAGTACACTCATAGGACCCTACCACATATCCAAAGGGCATCAGGATCTGTTATTATCAACCTCGCAAGCTCCCCTCCTTAGTGATACGATTTTTGTTGACAAAATCTTATCTGAGACACTTACGAAATCACGTAACCGTCGTAACTTATTTTACGATACGAAGGATACTCAGGTTACGAAGGAATCTTGAATACCCTCATGGATTTGTAATAAACTTGGTACATAAAAACTTACTTCTGACGAGTTGATGAGAATTTTCATCAGAAAAGTCTTGTTTTGAGCAAAACCCATGAAAAACCCTGAAGACTTGAATCCACCAAAATTATTTCATACAGGTGAAAGCCACTTTGTAATGAATACAAATTGAACAAATTGCTTTCTGAAGACGGATATTTTAAATATGATTTTAATCGCGCTTTGCTTTCCATAACTGTAATCAATCTTCCCTTAAATTTGTTTATTAATGATTTTCTTTTCTGACTTTGTGTGCATATGGTCCAATAGTTATAAAGCTTACCTAAAATAAAATTTGATTAGTACTCGTCTACCGCGATGCTAATGAAGGTAGATAATCATCCAATATCAAAGCTTGGTTCAATTTCAAAATAATTGGAATTTTATTATTCCCCGGTTCAACAATTAGGGTTGAATAATATTCATTGCCCCCTAAGTCATGACTTATTGAATCCGGCCTCTGACCTGTATCAACGAAGTCACAGGTCAAAAACGGCAAACTTGTCGTATAAGATGTCATTTTGAATTGAATTGCAATCCACATGGGCGATACTATTTTGTATGTATTCGTTTGCAAGGGTTTATTGTGGTTGAATGTGTGATTACAAAATGGGGAATTTTGAGGGTCATTAAACGAGAGGTGAGAAAGACGAAAATATGTATATTATGCTAACTTAGCGATGCATGCATTTGTTCCAACTAAATAAATCACATTGTTCTACATATATATGTACATATATACATGCATACAAATGTGCAACATAAAAAATAACCATTAGCATATTTCTCATAAAGAAAAAGGGTTAAATAATTTATTTTTAGAATTAATGCCCACCCAAATTAAACCCTTTCTAAAATCCTTCTAAAACTTTATTTCATCCTTCTTTAGTCAGCATCCAACAAACCATAGTACAAAACATCCATCCAAAACTAAATAAAATGCCTCGTCTCAATTCTTATCTTATAATTTTCTCCGTAGTTTTAATCAACTTAAAAATTTCTTCTGCAAAATTATACCCCACCCAGGCAGAATTTGCCAGCGCAATTCTCGCCCACACTTGTGAAATCCCGCAGGCCAAAATTAATTGTGGAAAAGCAATTAATTGTTAACGCACTGTGCCGAGACGGTGAAAGCAAACGCAAAATATTTTGTGGAAATTGCTCGAAAGGACTTGTACTTTTATGTTGATTGTTATCAAAATTTCGAAAAACATTCCGACAGACTATTGATGCTGTTTATGCTTTATTTTGGCGACTACATCACCGAGCATAAAGAGGAAGATGAACCGGTTGAGGAATACATAAATCTTTTGGTGACTGAATTATGCACGGAGAAGTTTCGCCAAGTTCTTGCCTCCCTTGACCACACGAAAGAGCAAGATGCGAAGGAACTCGTTGAATTTGTCGCGGATAAAATGCACGGTGCCAAAATTGAGTGGGTTCATTTTGGACAAAATTGCCGGAGTCGAAATCAAAAATGGGTAAACTTTATATAAATACTTAAAATTGAATATCTTACTTAGAAATCAAATACGTAAATCCCGAATAATGCCAAAAATTGTTACCCAGCCGGGAATCGAACCAAGGCTCCCTTGAATTCATGTCAAGTGCTCTGACCTCTGAGCTACTAGGGCAATTAGTAACATTATAGGGACTTTTACTGATATTTGTCTGTGGCCTTTTTCTGTGAATTTCTACTTTCTTTTACGGTGGCAACGAACTGTTGTCTACCAAAGAATATCTTACGTTCCATTGCATGCGGGGTTTAAGTTTAGATTCACTTGCCTCCTCTTTCCTTGCTTCCAATTTTCAATTTAGATTTGGTGATTTTTAAACATGTTCATCTCCGTGGGTTTTTTTAATGGAGATTTTATTACGTGTAAATATCGACAAGTTTTAGGTTTGCAAAGTTAGGGGGTTGGAATATTGATTTTTTTGATTGATTTGTTCCATGAGAAAATTAATATGTACAAAATACATACAAATTATGTATACACACAAATTATTTACGACACGATACATACATATATATGTGCCTTAGGTCAGACTCCGCAAAGCAGTACTGGAAAGCTTCCCCACAGAGTTTTCCACAAAATATTACACAAATACTCTCATGATTTAAGTTGTGATAACTTTTGGTATCCGAGTAACTTTTGCAGCGCATAATTTCATTACCAATTGATATAAAATTGCACAAAGTTATCATATATGTATATATATATGTATTTCAGCTTCAAGAGATTAACTAAACTGTATTGCATAATGACATCTAAATATAACTCACCACAGTTAATTCTACTTTTTGGTCCCATTGTAAATAAGTTGCATTTACAGGAAAATATAAATGAGCGAAATACAAATATTATACGCATCTGGCACAAAATTCAAGTGCGATGAGCCTTAACGGTGGAGCATACATATTGTATAACAACAGGGTTCAGAAAACCACGGGAGTTTTCTGGAAAAACCGCGGGCTTTTTCTAGAAAAACCAAACCCTTAGGATTTTTCTGGGTTTTTGTAGATTATGGGGCAGGTTGAAGCAAAATTCATATAATTACACATTATGTAGAGGTTTAGAGCAGAACTTGTTCATTTATTGGAATACATTCACAAAACTTTCCGTACTTTTATTGACATGGATTTTTATCTAAGTCAAATGTTAATGTTTAACACATTACCCAAATAGGAAACCAAAAATATATATAATGATACGTGGAGATTCAAGTCGTACATATTTAAAAATGATCAAAATTTCATTCTAAATCCGGAAATTTAATTTTCATTGATTTAACTATAAGTTGTAATTTAAATAATCTTGGTTCAATGTGGCCAAAATCTTACAAAACTCGCAAAAACAACTCAAACAACAAGAAAAAATACGTAAAACCCCAAAAACCCTAACCCACAAAAACCCGACGTAGCGAACCCTGTCCAGGAAGGAGACTAAAACCTGCATATAAATGTATCTGCCAAAATTTCATGTTTCATTGATTCTATCCCGTTCAGCATTGCTGAAGCATGTATGTACGTACATATGTATAAATAATTGCAAGTTGTGAAAGCCTGGATTTAAGTCAATTTAGTTTTATCACATGCTGAGAATAAAATTGCTGCTCTAGACATACTTTAAAAATTTAATTACGAAATTTAAGGAAATTATATTTCTGTGTTGTGCTGTTGTTTTCAGTAATTAAAATGAAAGTTGTCTCAGTTATAGTCCTCATTCTAATATCATATCTCAGTTTTGCTCCAATTTTAGGAAATTTTCCAGAACAAAATAACCAAACTAACAATTGTTGTAAATGTACCGAGTGCCAAGTGGCAAATGCATCTGTAACTACTAAAATAATGTGTGAAGTACTCGATTTAGTAGTCAAAGCGAACGAGGACATTGTAAAAACTGATTCTAAAGACTAACTATTCTAAAGAATTCTCAAAATACTTTGACTCTCTGCGTAAGTATTTTTAAGCAATAATTTATTTTTCCACATAGCATCACCTTCTGATTGGATTAGTTGTAAATATGTATGCATGTATGTACATATGTGTAAATAAATTTGCAAAATTAATGAATATTTTTTTCAGATCCAATACTAATACTTTTCCAAACCCATGTGGAACGTGTAGAGTTAGAAGACGTTTTACAATCAGATGCAAAATGTCAACCTCTAAATCATACAAAGAGAGAGATCGAAGATTTTGTTTTTGCCATTGGAGCTGTTTCCAAAATTGTCAAGCTGTCAACGAGCACCATGAAAATCACACTTTTTAGTAAGTTGGCTGATTCTTCTTTCATATTGATTATTTTTGATTATTCATAAGTTGGATTAATCTTTACACAAAGTATATGTGGTTTACAAGGGAATCTTGAAAGGTTTTGTCAAAGGTTTCTAAATTTTTAAGCGGTTGGGCAACTTAAGTAATTTATTATAATTCAATACCAATTCAATACTAATTCAATACTTCCAAGCAATTTTGAAATTCGAGTTATACAGTATTGTCTCAATTCCCTTGTAAACCACCCATCCATATAAGTATTACGCTAATTTATAGCTGGGGGATAATAATTTGCAGACATTTGCCAAAAGTGCCAGCCTCGTAGGAAAATTATGGATGCCGCGTTTGGGCGCAGTATTGCCATTTCGGGCGAAAAAATTTGTGAGAAAACTTCATGCGTAGAATTTAAGAAACTTGAGGGAAAAGGAACTGGCGAGTCTGCAAATTTGGAATTTTTGGGGGACGGCATTGCAACAAAAATTTCTGTTGTGCTGCGTAAGAAAATATTGATCTCTAATTGCATTTCTACATACATACATATGTAGAAAGTATTATGTTTATTAAAAACCTCATTCTGATATTTTAGTAATCGGATCGAATGTGGGGTCCATCATGGAGATAAATGGAACCCAATATGACGGAGGCATATTCCTGCTTGGCAGTTTAATGTTTTTCCAAATGCAGCCAGAAGTCAACAAGTGGGACGCGGCGACCGAAATCATAAGTACAGTCATGCATATTTATAGGTTTTTGCTAATTTTAATTACCAAAGTTAAACAAAATAATTACAATTTGTTTTTGACAAATTGAGATATTTCTCCGGTTTTCGTGGGTCCGATTTCTGCTTTACATATTCCCCAAAAATTGGAAGAGGGAATGTGGAGAAAACCCTGGAAAATTCCCGTGACCCTAAAAATGCCCGACAATTGCGAGAAACGTCAAAAGTTTTCAAGAAATGTTTGCCAACCTATTAAAAATTGTGAACAATTCCTAGAAAATTTCCGAATAAATGTTCTGAAATTTTCAATATATTCAAAGAATGTTCGAAAATTCCCGGAAACTTTCCCACTGTCCCGGCAACGCGTTTGCACGCTTGCACAACAACTCGAACCCACGCCACCAGTATTCAGTTTTAAATGTGTAATTGTTTTTCACTAACTGGCGATATTTAATGAAACATTTTAAAATTTGTATTTCAGGTCAACTAAAAATACATGCAATCGGGTTGGACAACCTCTACATGGGATCTTCTTCAACTTCGAATAATGATCAAATAATCGTTGCTAGAATTTTTGATAAAGGAGTCACTCAACGGACAAACTTTCTCTACAATAAAGTTTTTAGGACTGGCTAAAATTCGAGAGTATGAGAGTGAAAACTAAAATTAGGAAATTAAATATAAATATTTATATTGTAAAATTCAGCTTATCTTTTCCTCGTATTTGTAAAAGTTGTTCTCATTAAATTCGTATTGCCAAGTATTGTCTGTCGCTAATAGGTTCGTACACAAAGTACACATGTTTACACAGTGTTGTATTTTCAGTTCAGGGCGAAATACACAAATATGTATATTGCTTAAATTTCCCTAAAGTTACGAACCTAAAGAAGTGTACGTAGTTCTTTGGAATGTTTTGGAAAACTTAATGGTAAAAAATCCATGTTTTTCGATATTTTCTTCACAAATTTTAGAAGTTTCAGTATATCCACCAATCTTAAAAAGTAGATTTTTTTGTGTTATGTATCATGAAATTCAATAATTGTAAACTGGTTGAAATTTTAATTAATCAGGTTTAATTATGACTACAATCTAGTACAGCAGGGAAATTTTACTAAAAAATCTATTGTACTTGCATAAATTCTATTACTTGTCGAGTTTTGTCATTAAATGCGAGGTGAACTGGTGCAAAAACATTTGTGTTTCAAAGCTTAATTATTAATAGCACATTATACATCACAGATATTTATATCGTGATATGTAAAAAGAATAAGAAATCTTATGTAAGCTTATGTAAATAAATAGCTAAACATACTGAATAAATCAAAGGATCAAATTATATGCAATTTAATCTAATTAATCTAATAATTTAATTCTATTCAATTTACATGCTTATGTAATACATTCATTTTAATATTCTGCAACATTAATTTATTGTCATCTATATTACCTTCATTTTCTCGCTAGCAGCAAACTAATCGTGTTATGCGTCACTCTTTCCATAAAATTTGCAAAATATCCCATTTCAATCCCCTCCCGCATCGTTTCAGCAAAACTGACGAACTCCAAATTGATAAAATTCGGTAACAAACTTCTCAAAACACGTTTTCTATACTTATTCCTGCCATGATTTCGTCCCCCCTCAAGAATAAACTCTTTCGACAGCGTCGTGCCCTTGGCCACGAACACAATCGCGAACCACTCCACGGACCCCGCAACGAAAACCATCGTCACACAAAGGATCATGCTAAAAGGCGTTACTTTATTTGTGACAATGACCTGTATCATGACACAATAGATGGCCATCGTTGCCCAAACAACGGCATAAAAGTGGTGCATCAGCAGGATCACGAAGTCTCTGGCGAGGTCAAATTGGATCACGGTCATGACCCTGAGTGACCTATAGATTTTGACTCCTGTGTCGAAAGATATCCCAAACTCTGTGGTAGGGACGAGGAAAAGTGTCCACAAGTAGAGCGTCACTACTCCATACATGACGATTAAGATTCCGATGCTTATTACCGACGCTACAAAAGTTCCAACCAAGGCAAGGATAAGGCCACAAACTATTCGAGATAGAAATTGATAGTTTTCGGGAACAAGATTGGTCGACGTGACAACGAACGTGATAGGATTGTGGGAAGAAAACGCCACCACGAAGCAGAACCATGGGACGAGATAGTCAAAGGCAAAGAAGAATGCGGTAAGGACCATGGAAATATTTCGTGTCGTCGTGGAATTGATGACGTCTCGGCGAGAGGTGAAAACTTGGGTGGGAATCATACCTAAAATGGGAGAAATAGGAATCTTTAACCAGAATTGATAAAACCTGGGGTTAACATTAGGCAAGGGTTAAAATGGCTTCTAATTCATTAAAATTGAGGCAAAACTGGGTAAAACCCAAAAACTCCAACGAAGTAAAACCAGGTGTAAATAGAGATCCCGTAAATAAATAAAGGCATCACCTTGCAATTTCTTCTCCAAATTTAACAATGACTCGTACACATTTACAAACTTTTTGGGACCCTCGGGCCACACGAAGTTCCACATAAATTGGATCCCAATCAAAAGGTAGACTATGCCCAAAGAAGCGAACCAAACTTCCACTACGTCCGCACCCTCACGACTGAAAGCAAGGGCGATGAGATTACCCCAATTGAGACATAACGTTGGCAAGACGACCAGTATGCAAAATAGGACAAAAATCTGATATATTCTATACTTCCAGCCATTCTCGAGGGGTGTGGCTCTTCTTTTCTTTTTGTCCCAAGAAATAAAGTAGCCCGCATGAAAAGAGTTTCGATGTGTGGCTAGAATACTGCGACGAAAATGAAGAAATGCTTCGTCACGCCACATATTAAAGTTTTCAGGTATGAGTGAGCTGATTTTTTTTAATTAAATTTTGAATTCAGAAATTTGCAGACTTTTCTTCAGATTTTTTGTATCGATTCTCCCATATCTTGATTAAGTTTTTAAACTCCGGTAAACTAATAAACTTTTGCAAGTAAATATTTCGAAGGAAAATTATATTGAATTTGGTTAAGTTTACGCAATTTCAGATCAAAGGCGTCTTTTTATTCTATAAAAGTTTGTAAAATTATTTTAAAAAACTTTGAAAAACAGATTTTGCAAAGTTAATACTGACTACGTGAGAGTTTACTTGTTTGGAACATTTCATGCAAATATCTTTCTACCTCTGAAGAAAGCTACATTTCGATGTAAAAATTTCCAGATAAGTTTAGGAACATACTTACTTATTTAATAGCGTATAATAATTATTATCTCGAATATTGGACAATAAATAAATTGTTAGTTAATCGGATATTTATTAGGTACGTAAAATTTCCAAGGTATGTAAGAAACATAAAAATATTATCCTGGCTTCAATAACGGTTATATACGTATGTATGTAGTATGTTGTCAAGTGCAATTATTAAATGTTATTGATTTATTTATGTGTTCTGACATTACGACCAATAAATAAAGATGGGTACATACTTACGTGATAAACCTGGTAAAGATGCATGTTAACCTGATGACAACTTACAAATGCATATTCAGATACATATAAAGATATACATGCATAAAATATAGAATCAATATGACGCATAGGAAAGCAATCACTTAATGAGATTCTTAAAAGGTATTCGAAATTAGGAATTAATAATGTTAAGACTTTACATATGTATATATACATATTTATCGAAAATGGCAATGAGGCTTATTTGGCGATGAAATATATCTACATAGTCAGGAACACTCAAATGTCAACAGCTGATTGCTAAAAAACTACGCCGCATAATTAAAATCTGATAAGTGCATTAGATTCGCCATGCGATTTACATTATGATTCACTATGGACTTTGTAATTTTTAAACATCTGGATAAATATATAGGAAATTGAAGAGAAGCGGGCGGCGATAGTTTTTCACAAAAAAAAAATCGAAGAAAAATAGTGAATTTGACATGTGTTGAAAAAGTCATAGGTGTACTTTAATTTAGCCCAACGGACTATAAAATGGTTCATGGGGACCGTATCGACTAAGAACAGTCGAAGAAGAATTTTTTGAAAACCTCCAAGGACCACAGCCATCGTGAAGCCTCTCAAGCATGGAATCCGAAGGAATTCACGAAATTCAAACGGAAACCGGGCTCACTGCTGACAGTGTCGATGAAAATTATCCAATGAGTGCTCAAATTGAAGCTTAGGCTTAAGGGTTTGAAATGTGGTACTTGCCATATCCTGATCTTACCCCAAAGGAAAACCAGATTAAATAAATGCAGGAGTTACCTCAAGCGGTACGCTCCCAAAAAGTGAGCAGGATTCTTTTTACAAATGAGGAGATTTTCACATCGGAAAAATATTTTAACTAGAGAATTGTCCTAATCTACTCAAAATCGGTCAGAGACATCCCCCAATACAGAAAAAAGGTCAGAACGTCACATTATCCAGGTTTTTTGATGATTTTGGCAGGTGGGAGCTAATTGGGGTAATTTCTATACATTTTGCTGAAACTTGGGGGGAGGTGGGGGAATTAAATTTCTTAAAATATGTTTTTGAGTTCGTGGTACATCCCCTAAGTGAGATCCAATTCAATGGAATCGATGGGACCTCTCAGAAGGACTCAGCACGAATTTATAGTGCAAAAAATGACCCAAGCGTAGCTAAAAAAACAAATTCCGGTCTTTATCTCCAATCAGAAATGGTCATCATCCTTGCTGGATTTGAATCACGGGAATATTAAAAATGGTCCAAGTTAGGGACAAAGGTGTGTTCTAAGCCACGTAGAAGTGCAGAGGCTTGGAAAAAATTTCTGACCTCGGAATGACACACAATCTCCCTGAAATCTGTGCGTAATTCCATCTAGGAGTGGTCGTCTCGTCTTCAGCGTGCCATTGACGCAGGAGGAGGAAATTTTTAAGACTAAAAATTGTTTTTGAATTGAAATGTATCTGGCTTTTCGGTAAAATAAGTCAAAAATTGCTAAGTTGAGAATTACAAAAGTAATAAAGCTATATGTCATTGACACTTGAGTGTTTCCGACTATGTACTAACGAATATAAAGATTTTTGCAATGCCAGATCTTGATGCCTTTTGAATATGCAGTGCAGTTATATGTATGAGTGTAGAAAGGGTGAAGGAAGGTTAGGGTCCGCGAACCCAGGTAAATCCGCCACACTCCCCTGAAGGGGCGTCAAATGTTAAACTAGCCGATAATTCCCCAGATTATTCCCTAAAAATCCAGTTTTGCTCGGATTCTCATAAATAATGTGCACATTATTGCATTATAATATGCATGCATATTTATGTGGACGTGGATTTCTGTTGGCAACGGAAGTGAAAGTTGAGATACATGTTTAGAGGTATGAGTATGTACATCTGTAACTAGCACTAATTTTTCACGTGCATATATATGCCCACACTTTTAACTACATACATTATGTATTTACATATCTACATATGTACATCCTAGCGTATAAGCCCGTCTCCCGCCGGGCGAGCAAGAATTAGAAACTGCGAATGTCTGTCGGCAACGAAGTAAAAGTAAATGTTCCGCAACGGAAGTGAAAGTAAAGAAAGTCAAGTTTCAAATGGAGCGTAAATTCTAAATAAACTAAATGTCACATGGTAGTTATCTTCTTGAAGCATAGTTGGTTGTCTAATGGTCGTTGTCTTATGTAAATATCTGTGTGGTTGCCTAATGGTAGTAATCTGACAGTGGTTGTCTAGTAGTGGTCATCTTTCACCTCCACTTCACTTTAGACTAAAGTGGCCAATCCTGCTTACCAGTGATTGACTTCCACTTCACTTTAACTTTACTTTAAACTAAAGTGGCCAGGATAACCACTTCAAGATAATCTCCCCGGATAACTCCCCCAAGTTAACCACCACCAGATAAGCCCCCATGATTATTACCCTCAGATAACCACCCATGATATACACCTCCAGATAACCCTCTTGATAACTATTGCCAGATAACCCTTTCTGACCGTTGGTGTCCCTGTCAGCACATGTACTGTCGGCTCAATATATTTAGTGGGGCGCTCTGCCTTGGATCGTAGAGCATTGCATGCTCTGACACAAACACGAACCATGATCAAGCGTCGTGCACACTGCACCAACAGCCCATCTTTATATGCCGATTCTAGTCATGACATGACATGGCATTACGATCCTATGCAGTGCAAACATGTGCACTAAACACAAATAGTTCATTATATGACACCACAATCTTGTTTAGTGCAAACATGCGCACACTGCTAGGAACTGTTGGTGCAGTGGAATGCACTGCACTTGCTGTTATCTCAGAGTCGTTATCATGGATTGTTATTTGGGGGTTGTCAGGCAGTGATTATCTCGGGGTGGTTGTCAGACAGTGATTATCTGGAGTTATCAGAAAGTGAATATGTGGGGGTGGTTGTTTGATGTTGATTATCTTGTGTGGTTATTTGGGAGTGGTTGTAAGTGAAAAATAATTTTGTTTTAAATTATAATTTTTGAATTCTCGCGCCATTGGGAACTTAACTTTCTCCACTTTCACTTCCGTTCCGGAAAATTACTTTCACCTCCGTTGCCAAGAGACATTTCCAGCTTATAATATAGATACCTTAGTAAATGTAAACTGTTACTACAATGCGTTACTCGTGAGAATAAATGTAAGTACTGAAATTATGATAATTACATAAATAACTAGCAATGGAACTTATTTCAAGCTGCACGAGGATTTTCTAGCGAGCTATATGAAAAACCTAGTAACTACGTCACACATTCCTTCCCGTTGAATGCTGCCCTTTTGAAAAGAATATTAGTGGTTAATGATGTAAATGTATTTTAGTCTCTTATACATATTTGTACAATGTCTCTTATGTATACATTTGTTTGAAAATTAGTAATCGGTATTCAATAATTTGTACGTTAGAACTTTCGTTAATGTTTAAATTAATGCATGCATGTTCATTTTTTACATTTTTCGAAACTTAAAGTTATGACATTAGTTTCCATTCTATTTTGGCACATTTTGTCCAGAAAATGCTAGCGAAAAGATGCGAGCGAATCCAATCCTCAAGACCTTTTCAGTCGCGTTTTAATTCTCCTTCAAACCAGTGTGTTATTATTCGTTTCGATCTCGCATTTCCGAAGTTGACAAGGTTTCGTGAAACGAACAAACTATTCACACCTAGATGCATCATCATACATTTTCGAAGGGTAAATGTGGCGCCCCCCCCCCCCCCCAAAGTTTTGGGGGCGACGGTCCGTCGCCGACGGACCAAGTGTTCCACTTTCCAGCCCAATTATGCGAATTTTTAGGTAATTTGAAATTTTGGGGCAATTTGAGATGTAGGAGAAATTTAAGATTTTTGGGGTACTTGGAAATTTTAGGGAAATTCGATAGTTTGCAATAATTTGAGATTTTGGGGTCGCGGCTGCGGTTGACTTAGCGGCTAACGGTTGACTTGGCCACGGCTCGGTCTACACGCTCCTTACTGATTAGTTGCGATTCATATTTTTGCATAATGTACATAAACCTTATTCAGGAAAATTTTGATCAAAAATGTAAAATAAAGTTGATAAAACTGTATGAAATTTACCGGTTTGCATTTATTCTTCGTCTCTGATTTTCACATTTTTACTAATTTAAGTCTTTAGCGATAAAATTACATCACCAGTGATGAGGAAAAAGTGAGACGATCATTTACATAAATACGTTAATTAGACAAATAGAAAAGTTTTGTTAATTTAAAAAACATTATTTATCAATCAATGAGGGTATTCATTTCGAGTTCGCATCGTTAGCAACGTTCGCAAAAAAATAAAGTTCGCAAGTTCGCAAAAAATTTTGGCTTGAAAATTGATTTGCCTTGCGCATCTCCAGTGCTAGTATTTAGTTCGCAAAATATTTTTCACAAATTTTTCAAATGGGAAAAGTCCATTAATCTCTATTGGTTACCGAAGTTTGGCCTTTTGAATTTTTGAAATTTCTTATTTGGTAAGTTTCAAACGCAAAATTTCGGTAACTAATGGAAATTTATGGATTTTTCCCATTGCAAAATTCGAGACATTTGAATCAAATTTTCCGAACTTTTTCATTTGCGAAGTGTCTTCACTTCGTTGCTTCGCAGAATTCACAAAAAAAGTTATGCTGCGATGCGAACATGCGAACTCATAATGAATACCCTCATTATAATATGAGTTAGATGATATAATACACATACACATCACCCCCAGGAAAATCCAAGGGTAAATCGTAAACTCACTTACTTTTCAGAAAATTCTTAAATTCTATTGTTTTTCCACAGTTATCTATATTATAAGCTGGAAATGTCTGTCGGCAACGGAAGTGAAAGCAAATGTTCCGCAACGGAAGTGAAAGTGGAGAAAGTGATTTGCATATCAAGTGCGTTGGAAAGTTGATAAGTCAGTTTTCTGAGATTTGCTGGTTGGGTTATCAGGAAGGGAACTTATTAAGTTCGATTATCGAGTCGCATGTGGAAACGGCGTGTGCCCCATTGGTATGTGGTTACCACTCTTCTGGGGGAAAAGGGAAGGGTGCCCCCCAGGGATATGGTTATCGCTCTTCTGGGGGGAGTGGGGGGAGGGTGTGCCCCCCTGGGGTAAGGGGTATGGTTATCGCTCTTGGGGGAATGGGTATGCCAGACATTATCATGGGAATTTGCCTATTATCACAATGTTGGGTGCGAAATATTGGTAAGGTCACGTACACAAGGGCATTAGTTATTCCTTTGTTCCACATATTTAAGGAACATACCGCTCCGTTCCGGCCCATTCAGGCCCGTTCCCAAGACATAAATTTCACTGTGTTGATCACGGGAAGGAGAACAGATTCCCTTCACTCCATAGGTAGACCATATTTATATTGGATTGTTTAACTTACAGGATATACATATTTCCTTAGCCTACACATAAGCGAATGGAATTCCCTTCCTCTTCCATTCCTTTTGGATATACTTTAGGCACAGTAGTGAAATCTTCACATGAAACCTTCACAAGGGAAGGGAAGGGGAATGAATTCCGTTCCCTTCATGTGAGAACTATAGTGATCTCTTTGCTAGAAGGAATGATGGGGGTGCCTGACATTAGCTGGGGAGTTTGACTATCAAAAGGGTTACACCTCCAGTGTTGGGTGTGATCTATTGGTGGGATCACGCACAAATATGGTTATCGCTCTGCTGGGGGAATGGGAACGTGTGCCTTGAACGGATTCCGTTCCCTCCATGGGTAGTCCATACCTATATTGAATTGCTTAATTTACAAGATACACTTACGCAGCGTACACATATGGGAATGGAATTCCCTTTCTCTTCCATTCCCCTTGGATATACTTCAAGCGAAGTAGTAAAATCTTCACATCAAGGGAAGGGAAGGGGAACGGATTCTCTTCCCTTCATGTGTCAACTAAAGTTATCGCAATACTGGGAGGAATGGGGCTGCCGGACATTAGGTGAGGAGTTTGCCTATCGAAAGTGGTCACGCGCCCAGTACTGGGTGTAATCTATTCGTGAGGCCACGCACCTAATTGAAATTAGATATTTTTCAAGACTACTTTCCATCGCTGCAGTTTCATATCTCGCTTTCTTTCCGCATCCATTTCGCTAATTCGTCTGAGGTCAACAAGAATGGAAAGGAAGGGGAACGGATTCCCTTCATGTGCAGACTATGCAGATTTTCTTACATTATAAAATAGATGCACCTGAATTGAATCCGTTCCCCTTCATGCAGACCTCTGATGAATTAGACAAAACTTCTATTGTAACAGATTTTGAACTCCGAGCACGAATATCATATCATATGCACTTTGACATGTCAAACACCAGTGACTGTGGTGCCCAAGGTCACATATGTGACATATGATATGTCGTATACACGTCTGAAATGTCTGTTAACACATTTTGAACCGGGCATAACGTGTTATTTTGATTTAATTCCTTAAATTTAATTTCATTCATTGTTACCGTATATTTATTACCATATAAGAATATGTATATAGCATGGCATGAGCATTGTTTAGATTTCTTATATTTTAATATTTTAGTTTTCCTAATACATCAACTTCCATCATCTTCGTCAACTCATTTGTATTATATGAGATGAACATCACTTTCACCTTCGTTACAAATTCCTTGGACTTCTGTGATGAAGAACTTCAGCTTATAATACAACTAAAATATTTCAACAATTCCATCCAATTTTTATGAAAGTCAAATCAGCCCTCGCCCGGCGCGAGACGGGCTTATACGCTAGTTTATGTATAAAGTGCGGAAAATAATTGTTAAATGATTTGTTTAGTTTTTATTAAAAATGATTTGGTGCGGTGATCCTTTGCCAAATGCGTCCTTAAATTGTCTTCTTTTACAAACCATCTGGTGCAATGGGGACAATTGTGGATTGTAAGCTTGCCCCCGAGTAGTGGTTCATAGGGGGGAATTTCTTTCTCAGTGATGGAACTAACGTTTCTTAGGGGTTTAGGGTTAGCTTGATGGTGATGCACAACGTTTCTTACGGGGCTACGGTTATCTTGGGGTTGACGCACTGAATCAACCGATTTCTGAGCGACGAAGCTAACATTTCTTGCAGGGGTATGGTTATCGCGATGGCGACGTGGACGTCTATCCAGATCGACCGAGTTCTTCACCTCGGCATGAGACCTGTAATGACTGCAAAAATAAAATATAGGGAAATTAGCTGAATTGCAAGAAAACAAGGTTATTCAGGTCGCACACACGAATGTCTATCGTAATTGTTGCCCTTTCTTACGATGAATGTATTACATATTAATTCCCCACCAAGTTGTACACGAAAAATTGGTTTTATATTTACTTACCGTTGATAATCGCACAAATTCACAAACTGCTTGCTACACAAGGAACACGTGTATAGCGTCATGGGTTCCACTTGCTCCTGAGTGTAGACGACATTGCAAATGTTCATCTCATGAATAATCTTGCGTCTCTTGGTGGGGAATCGTTGGAAACATTTTGAACATGAGAAGAAGAACTCTTCAATATATACGGAATTTCTGGTTTTTGTGCAAACTTGTCGTCTTTCATGTAGCTTAAGGTTGGCCCAAGAAGAAAAAGTTATGCCACAGTTGGAGCATTTCAAGCTCCTGGTGTTCGCAGAAGGGCTGCAATTTAAAATACTGTTAATTTCTTGTTAATTTAATTTTGGTGTAAAACTCGAAAAATGACACGTTTCTATTTTTTGCATACGTTATGCCACAAATTCCTATGCCTTTTATTTTCTATGCAAAAAATGTGCTATGATTCTGCAGAGAAATGTGTAAATTTCCTCTTTCAATAACTAATTAGGCGATCAGATTATATTCTTACTTTATGGTCGCGTTATTAGAATGTTCGTTTTTCGCCTGCAGTGTTCTCCCCGTTGGTTTGCCGTTTGGGGGCTTATTTTCCTCCTCTTCGTCACATTCTGAAGACATATTTTCGTCTTCGTCGGGGTCTATGCTTTCGTTGATACGCCTACCTATTAGAATAGAAATATTGGAAAGGTTATGTTAATAAATTACGAATCCTGATTTTTTTAAATCCAACTATAAATTGTTAATTATAAAATAACTATTTTTCTTCACCTGTCAAACTATTACCGAGTATTTCACATTCATTTACATATTTTGAGGTATGGTTATCTTGATGGCGACGTGGGAGTTGATCCAGAACGACTGATTTCTCCACCTCGGAATGGGTGCTGTAATGACTGCGAAAAATTAAGAATAGACAAATTAGCTGAATTACAAAAAAAAAACTTGATATATGAATAACGACGTCGCTTATTTGGCTTATATATATTTACTAGTTTAAACTTGACATTGACAACAACACCCCCAAGGGAAGGATTATTCAGGTTGGGTGCAACAAAATGTAAAATTATAATACATTTCTTACGATGAATGCATTATTAATTCCCCACAAATTTGTACCCCAAAAAAAAAATTGGTTTTACATATTTGCGTACCGTTTATACTGCCACACATCCACAAACTGCTTGTCACACAGGGGACACGTGTATAGCGTCAAGGGCTCCACTTGCTCCTGAGTGTAGACGACATTGCAAACGTGCATCTCATGAATAATATGCCATCTCCTGGTGGGGAATAGTAGGAAACATTTTGAACATGAGAAGGCCCCTTCAATTTTTGTGGGATTTCTGTTTTCTTTGCAAACTTGTCGTCTTTCATGTCGCCTAAAGGTGTCGTTCCTGGAAAAAGTCATGCCACACCTGGAGCATATCAAGCCATTGGTGTTCGCAGAAGGGCTGCAATTTAAAATAGTGTTAATTTATTTTTGGTGTAAAACTTGAAAATTGACACGTTTCTATTTTTTGCATATGTTATGCCACAAATTCCTATATCTTTTATTTTCTATGCAAAAAAATGTGCTGTTTCTAGAGAAATGTGTAAATTTCCTCTTTCAATAACTAATTAGGGGATCAGATTATATTCTTACTTTATGGTCGCGTTATTAGAATGTTCGTTTTTCGCCTGCAGTGTTCTCCCCGTTGGTTTGCCGTTTGGGGGTGTATATTCCTCTTCTTGGTCGAATTTTGAGGACATTTCCTCCTGAAATTCTGAGGGTGTAACTTCCTCTTCTTCATCAATGGACATATTTTCCTTTTCAGCGACAAATTCTGAAGACATATCTTCCTCTTCTTCGGTGTCTATGCTTTCGTCGTCCTCGACTTCTGGCGACATTTGCATAGGTGAAAATTTTCTTGCTGGTACTGTAGATAAAGTTGACGAGTTGTATTGTCCACCTGCGTGAAGTTTGATACGCCCAACTATTCAAATAGAAATATTGGAAATTTTATGTTAATAAATTACAAATCCAGATTTTTTAAATCCAACTATAAATTGTCAATTATAAAATAAGTATTTATCTTCAATCTTCACCTGTCAAACTATTGGCGACTATTTCACATCCATTTAAATATTTTCGCCTGGATTCTTCCAACCTGTTTTCCAACTCTTTCTCCAAGTCGACAATTCCTTGCCGAAGGGCGTACACTTCCTTAATGAGTGATAAGCAATCCGAACAGGATTCCGTGCTGGACATGAATTGGTTATAACTTGACGGGGACGTATTTTTACGGACGGTTGGATTAATTAAGAGGTCACGAAATAAGGCCGCTTTTTCCTGCCGGGTGACATTGTCTGGCAGTGACCGAGAATCTGCCACTGATTTTATCCCGCATAGAAAACATCCCGAAATTTTGACCGTTTTACATTCCGACACGGCGGCATTGTCGAGCACCTTGTTGCGCTTCAATTGGACGAAAGGGAGATTCAATGGCATCATCGAATTACAAAATTTGGATGACAAGTTATTTAGCCTGTAATTAATTAAACAGAAATAATTTCATTCAATTTCAATTAGTCATTATTTGAGTCAGTTGAAATCTATTAAATGTTTTTTAAAATAAAATCAGTACTTTATTTATTTTAACGATAACAAAATCACCCATTCTTTTGTTAATTTGATGTCAAAGTGTCAAAGTTGGTGTGACACGTAAATTTATTCAACTGAAATTTAGTTATCACTTTGAAATTCAAAATTGAAGTTTGAAGTTTATAGGGAAGTGAAATAAATATTTATTTATTTATTTATTTATTTTCTTCTGGAGGAGAAACCGGGCTTGGAGATCAAATCCCGGTTTTCAGCACAGCTCAAGATGCGACGCGATCTCATTTGGTTTTTTCATGCAGTTTTCTCATGCAGTTTGTTGTCTGCATTTTCATTTATAGTTTGCAAAATTAAGTGCAGTTCTGATTCAGCCAAGTTTAATTTTTACATATTATCTGTGTAGATATATATTTATATAGATATATATTTACATATATTATATACGTATACGAAGGTATGTACAGTATGTACCAGAAGTCTAGCTGTGGGGACATTAACATTGTAGGATAGGGGAGGGAGGAGTTTATATAATATGGGCAGATGATTGCGACGAACAACCGTGGGGACATTGTCCCTCTGTCCGTGTTCATATGTAGGTAAGTATGCAAATCATTCGCGTTTCTCATTTTCCTGCAATTTGTGGCTTAAATTTGCATGTTATTTCAAAAATTTACAATTACACACATAAAATTTACTTTGCATATGTAAGAATCAAATTTTGTCTCCTATGTAAATAAATCATTTCCGTGCTCAAGTTGAAAATCATGGGTTTTTATTCACTCTATAAAATTTAAAGTGATCATTATCATGTTGTACAATATTCGTCTGATTTACCTTCACATCATACTACTTCCAGTATGTACATAAAACCTGCTACTATTTTATAAATACAATCTACATATTTATGTAACTGCCTAATTTTGTGTACAAATTTGTGTCTAATTATAAAATTTCTAGGCTTCGTGCATCCCGTCGTGCTCTGTACAAAATGAAACTTTCCAGGACACGAGAAGCAGCACACCAGTAGGTTTTAATGCTTGGTTTTAATGCTTGCGACAAGAGTTAAGATTGATCTGAAAATTCAAAGAAAAGAAATGCCGTTTAAAAAAACCTTAATTAAAAAAAATGTACACGATGCTTTAAAACTGTAAACTTTAAAAGACCCGAAATTTGTCAATTTGTCCGAAATGTTTCACAACACTTGTAAGTAAAATTGCAAAAATAAGTATAAAAAATTCAAAATTTTGTACATCATAAAGTTTACACGGTTTCAGCGCTGCTTATATTTAAAAAATTACCAAGATGATGAGCCTGCACATGCGCTACGGCTTCCGGTCTGTGGACAAAGGTTTTATTACACGCGCTACATTTTAACCTGAGAACTTGCGGATCCGTAAGAACGACGACCGTGGCGATTTCCACGACGCTACCGATAAGGTAAATTCCTCGGCCAAGTTTTTCCTCCTCTTTCGCCACCACGCCGTGGCGACATTTGTCCTGGTGACACGAAAAGGACACCAATGAGCCAAAAATGGTCGTGGCACAATGTTTGCACGACTTCGAAACGATTTCCTGACCCAAAATTGATTCTCGGGCGGCGCGTAGTCTAGATTTCTCTTCTGCAGTGAGTTTCGTGGATTTCGTACCACTTCGGGCCGGACACGTGGAGGATTCGTGCTTCGTGCAGGAATATTGTGTGTGGAAACCCTGAAAGGGCCCGTTCATATATTACGTCATCAAAAAACCTGATTTTTCGACCCCCACCCCCCCTTTGTCAACAATCGTCAACATTTGCTTGACCCCCTCCCCCCACCCCAATGTTGACGTCAACTTTTTTTTCATAAGGGGGAAACGTGAGAAAATTTTGTGTGCGAATATGTAATATGATTGTATCTCCGTTTTAACCTATTAAACATTACATTTTTAATTGAACTACAACCTCGTCGTAAAATAAATAATTAAACAGTAAATCTAATTGTTGCGAATTAATTAATTAAGTGCAATACGGAATCTAAACACGGATAAAGTATGTCAACAAAAAAATCCAAATAAAGGCATATTTTAACCCTTAGCCATGGGAGACCGTTTAAAAACGTTTTAGAGTCTTTGCTTTAATTCGGGAGACCGTGAAAAGCCGTTCACAAAAAAAGTCTCTGTCTTCGGGGTCAACGGCTTTTCACGTTTTCACGTTTCCATGTCAGGTGCGGGACAACGGATATTTCCGTGGTAAAAATTATTTAGCTGATTCGGGAAACGGCAAAACACGTTGGCACTAAAAACTAAAATTATTAGGGCCTTGGATCAGAATCGTCCGTGGTAACACTAGGTCATTTTCATATAACTTCGCCCCTGCTTTGCATAGGATGGGTTGCATGTAAAATTTTTGACTCTGGTTTACTAACTGCTAAAACTATTCAAGAAATTTATAACGGAAAGTTATTGAGGCCAAACCACACCCGTCTCGTGTAATCTTGGTTTTGCCAGGACATGTTCATTTTTGCTAAATTTCAACGTTGATGAAAAACTACTTAAATTAGTTTGGGATTTTTCCAGAAGCTTGACAAATATTTTGGTTAGTACACCAATTATCTCAGATAATTTATAAAGGTACATAAAAAAAGGTACAGGGGATTATTTAAGATACAAAATATGAGGTAAAACCAGCATCGCCAATAAATAAAGGGTTATATACACCTTCTATCAAACTCATAAATTATCTAATTGATCTCCTCGTCTAGATTGAGGTCTTGGCTGCATTTAAAAGTTAAAATATACGAAATGTATGCATAAAGTTAGTCAGAACTTTTGATCAAAGTTAAAAAAAAACCTTCACAAACATATGTTGTTTTGGACCAATAGCTCTATTTCTATTTTACAAATGTCTTGAGTAGTTTTGCATAGTCATAATTTTGCACCATAGTCATAGTTCATAGCTCTAAGTAATTATCATGCAACTTTGCTTTACAATGTTACACTTAAATTTTAATAGTCATCATTTTAAATATCATATTTATTGACGTTGTCCGGCAGCTAATTTTCTCCTAACGTGTTTTGCCGTTCTCCCGAATTGAGCATTTCTAAAATCGTCCCGAATCTTAGGAACTCATATAATAAAAGTTTCCAGATTTAGAACTTGTCAGATTTTAATTATTTTTTGGCTTCCCGAATGATCACAATTGTGGTCATCGAAACGCCCCGCAGCAACGCCAAACATAGTTACCGTTTCTCCTCGGCTAAGGGTTAAATTTGGTAATGAGTCCGAGCCCGTAAATGTGCCAGTACCTTCCAAGTATATTTATCATTCCATTTAGTGTTTGTGAATTACAATTTAAATTCACAGGTTTTGGCTTAGATAATGCACAAGTGCGTGTCAAAAAAAGCTACTTTATACTATTGAGTTAGCTGCAGAAAATCTGGAGATTAAATACACTATTGGACTATTATAGCTTAGGTGTTCAAAGTTTAAATTACTGTAGTGTACCATTGACGAAACTGGGACGCAGTATTGAAGCATAAAGTTGGATAATTGCGCAATTAGTGGAGCCAGTGGGCAAACGAAGGTTTTATTTTTAAAACTAAATGATTTTTGTACAAAATCGGAACGTACTACCTAATGCTAAAATAATGGCAATGAGAAAATTAGTTCATGACGGGAATGAAAGAACAGTAATTTTTCTCAACTACATAAATTAAACTGGAAACATCTTCAGTCTTCACATAACAATCGGCTCTGACTCAGAATATTACTGCATGAACTCAGATTGTTCTTCATAATAAGTACTAGTTAGCAAGTCCTTTCAGAAAAATTGTCTGTACGTTTTTAAACTAATTTTTCGTCATTCATCATCTATTCGCTTATTCTAAAAAGATTTCCTGTACATCAAAATTGTCAAAATCGACAGCATTTTAGCCTAAAGAAAGTCTTTCACCCCGTCGTCGAAATGAAATACTAACTTTCCTGTAATAGCTTTTCTAACTCCTTACTAACAGTATCGAGGGGCTGCCCGTTTTCTTTACTGTTGTACCAGCTCCCTTAATCCTTGTAAACTTCAACCGTCCTTCCTTTGATTTGGTAAGTCCTGGTCCCATTTACCAAATGTACATATTTGCACTTAAACGCAGCAATTTTTAGCATCGACCATTCTCACCACACTCAATTAATGGAAATGTTAAAAGTGGTCACCCCTTGACCGGAAGGTTCTGACTCATTACTGGGTGCGGACTCATTCCATAAAATTTAAATTGAATATCAGCTATTTTAGCTGAATAAAAATATTTAACTTAGAAAATTTGATCAAATATTAAATACATTTGCAAACGAAATATAAATGAGTTAAAGTAAATATGTGTAGCGAGATCCAAGAAAAATTTTGTGCGATGCGGCAAAAAATCCAATTTTGCCCCAATAAAAAAAGTTGACGTCAACACACCCAAACCCCCCACCCCCACCCCGTCAACAATCGTCAACATTTGCTCGACCCCCTCCCCCCTATATTATGTTGACGTAATATATGAACGGGCCCAAAGAGAAAATTGGCACAAATTTGATCGATTGAAATGACAGTAAAGAAAAAAAAATGACAATGAACCAGTTCACGCCAACCATCGTAAATCCGCAACCACGAAAACTTAAGAAGATGACTTACGAACCAAAAACATGCCTACTTACCTCAAGTTTCGTCAAAAGTTCGTAAGTTTGAGTGGTAACGGATTTACGAGGATTGACGTGAATTTGCCCATTATCATTATTTCCAGAAAAATGCTATTTACCTTTCCGCATGTCTGGCAGATAAATCGGTTAGATCCCTCGTGCACGGAAACGGCATGTTCGCCCAAGTAACGTTTAAAGAATAATTTTCCGCAGAATTTGCAAGCCTCTCTTCCGTGATCGGATTTGGCGAGGTGATCGTCTAGCAGAAGTTGGTTCGCGAAAGGCCAACCGCACCCGATAAAGCCGCATGCGAAGGGGAGGTGGGCTATAAGATGAGACAAGGACATCTTTATTACATAATTTGCAAATAATCACTTTCGCCAGTGCCCTTACGAGGGGCTGCCAGGTGGGGGTTTTCCCCAGGGCCGGGCCCTGGTGACCATTACAAAAATTTTAATTGATAATTATTTAAGTGCTTAGAAGATTTTGAGCAGTTGCTTAGTGCGCCAATGTCTAACCAAAAATAAACAACAATTAAAAAAAGCGACAGGCAACCAGGGATCATACTAACGCTTTATTAGA